CCTTAAATCGATTTAACCAACAAAGGAAGATTCCTTCTTGGCCCTCAAATGGCCACTTCTAGCAGACCAAGGCGAAATGTCAATCGCCGCTCTATGGTAAGTGCCGTGACACRAAGGTAACTCGTTGTCAATCTGATCTTGCTTTTTAGGTTGACATGTTAGACCCTCAATATTTTGTGATTTAGAAAAGCTTTCTTGTCAGTCATACAAATCTATAATCTTTTATTGATCTTTGTTTATTTTTTAGGATGTGATAGATTTTAGTTTTATTTTGGATARATAAGTTCAAAAGGGTTTTAGAAGATTGAGTTTTGCTTCTTCGTAAATGTGATAATCTAATAACCTTGCACGTACTTGCTACACTGAAGGTGTTGCTTCCGCTTATGTTGTYCTTTTTTTGTACGTTCTTCACGCATTGATTTATAAAGAATAATCCTGCGATAATTCTTATATCTTAATRATACGAGAGTTAGATTAGATTTCCCTTCCTTGTTATAAAGGGTTTCAGCAAGTCAAGCCTCTAGCTTTTATCACAAAGACTGACACACAGCAAATATGCTTTCAAGCTTACTTTCAAAAGCCYCCTTGTCATGAAGATATTTTAGATGATTTTTTATCTAGTTTTGGCCCTCRATAGCCTCTAAATATTGATCGTTGATGTTCATTTTTTATTCAGTATGAGTGTTTTTTTTTTAATAAAAGGCTATGAACTTCATGCTATTGGCAATGTGAAAGACCACCGAACATCACGCAATATTAAAATTTATTTAAATTTGCGTTTAATAATAAAATGCACTAGAAACGAAATGATAAGAATAAGAATAATATATAAAAGTAAAAGCGCTTTGATCCTCGAGACGAAACATCTAGAAAATTTTAATGTAGTCAACTGATTGTAGGAAAAATGTTAATTTACTAAGCGTTTTCTAATTTTTATGTGGTATTTAACCTTTAATATTAAATTTTAAATTTGTTTGTWGTTGAATGAAAGGTTGCCCTAGAGATTAATGATATTTTAAAATTCTTTTACTTGCATGTATATGCGTTCCTGGTTTAGAAAATGTGACATACAATCAGGATGTAATGCACATCATATGAAATACTTCMTTTTTTCCTGTTTTACATGGTTTTCCTTGGGATCTCATGCATTCAATTTTCTTTATAAATTATGTGAATAATATAGATATCATTATATAATATTAATTATTAGACTTCTAAAAATGCTAAATTATTACTGTGAATAATTCTATTCTTTTTTTCTAATTGATTGTTCTTGTAATTTTCCTTGCTGTATATATTTTTCTRTTTCTTTTGTTGGTTTGGTGCATATTTCTTTGCTCTGATATATAAACACAGCTTTTGRGAGACAGCGAGAGCAAAAAAAGCCTAAAAGGCAATAGATAGCAGTGGGCGATTCTTAATTGCAAGTTCTTTGAGTGCTCTCAGTGTGYTAATGTCAGAGAAGCAAGCAGCTGTGCTATATTTATACTTTATGATATATTTCTAAGGCTTTGAAAACCATTCCTTTTGATGCTATTAATCAAAACTCCAAACTGTTTTTTTGAGGCCCCTCCCTCAATGTTTTTAGATCAGAGTTTGATTGACATAGCGAAACATTGCGAATCGTGGCTGGAGTACATAAATTAGTTTTGAAAAATTGTAGTAGGGTATCATATAATGATGATAAATTATAGATAAACTATGTTCAAGTTCTGCTGTAACCAGTATAATATATCTTTTTATTATAAATTATTATGAAATACGAGTGTATCTTTCACGCGAAAAAGTGATAACTTTCATAAGTGCACATGTGAAGGTAACATGTTACCATTAAATAAAGGTATATTTAAACTTTTGCTGCTGTTTTGTGTTTATAAGTATAGTTTACAACATGAGCGGCCGTGTTGTATGGGAATTACAATCTCGAGCCGCAGGCGAGAGATTGTAATTCCCATACAACACGGACGCGAATGTTGTAAACGACTTATAAAACTCCAACACAAATTAACATGAATTACAGTGAGATAAATGANTGTCTCGTCGATATTGACACTTGCTTTCGTAAAGAAATTATATACAGGGTGAAATAACCAGTAATTCCTAAAGAGAAATGTCACATCTTCCATGCAGTTCCTTTATCTGTATAAAGTGGGCAATTTTTCCCTTTTAAACATCGCACTTACAAGCATCCCCCCCCCCCAGGATTAGCTTCGATGTTTACATTTAGTCAAGTGCAATTCGCAATTCAGTAACTGTTATCTTTGACATTTGCAGTGCCTTGAAGATATTTATGAGAATTGTTCTCAATAATATATGATTACTGATGGAAGTACTTCATGATGAACACTGTCTCTTTGGACTAATGGTATGGTAGATCTCTCTACCAGTACAATTGAACTAACAGCCAGTCAGTTGCAAACAAAAGGTATGTCTATGTTCAATGCTATTTACAGTATCCATATCATTTCTTTACACTACTCCCATTCACTCCAGAAGAACACATTGAGGATTACACGATTGCACCCTCAGTCCAAGCAGTGTGTGTAAATTGTAGACAAGAAGTCAGTGAAATCCTGTACTTTCTGTCTTAATAGCATGGAGTGGACTCTGGATACAATATTATTGTATTTAATGTTAGTACAGGTTCTAATCTTCATTTTGTCTTCTCAACAGTTTGACAATCAACCTGAAACAAGACCTTCATTGGTCAAGTTTATAAAATCTTGTCAAGCTATGGATATTGCACTGACACAGACCTGTAAGTATGRCAAGTGTTTACACCACTGTAGTAAAAACTATAAGAGACCTGAAGCATTACTACAGTCCCTGTTGCTCTACACACTTGGTACCCTATCAAATTCATTACTTTGGGCTTTAACTACTAGTCTAAGATGTCATCTAAGATGTATCTATGTATTAGCCACTTATTATTTGTTCAAAGCATTAATTGTGTTTCTTTATTTTCTACTTTCAGAT